GTCAAAGTGAGGTGGGCTGGGATGGAGGAGTGTGAGGAATGTATGCCCAGCCTCAGGCATGCCCGCTCACCAACCCAGCCATAGATAGTGCGGGGTTTGTGGCGTCACTATTCGTGTTTGACCATGACTCAGATGTGGACATGGCGTTTCTAGATAGTGCTAACCTGTTGGTACTCCAGTCATCGTGAGAAATGAAGGGTTGATGGTAAGGAACTTTTGTTGACCCTTCAGAATGTCCAACCACCCAACCACAATTACTGGGCACAATCATGATGACAATTGAGTCCTCCTGTTAAATTTCTGGCATCACAAAACTAGAAGTCCAAGCAGCGTTAATAGATGATGTCAAGGTTCTACCGGTAGTGTTGTGTGGAAAATTGTGTGACAACATATAAGTACCTTAGTATTTGTAGGTAGTTCCAGAAGCCTGTCATTTTCCTGGCACATGCCTTACCATCTTATCAGCCATGTGAGCTAATTGCAAGCCAATCTTGCGAATAACAGCGTGACTCGAAATGATATGTATAGCTCGTAAACTTCTTCGTGCTAAGCATTCTAACCCTCATGCTTGGGGAGATCGCTCAAAATGCTTAGACTTGATCGACACAAACTTGTGTTCTATGCTCGATGATAACGTCAGTCCCAGTATAATGAAAAAACTACAGGGCCCTATCCATCCCGAAACTAGAACTACGCCAGCTTTCGAAAGGTTGTGTCAAGTTCAAAGACATACCCCAGACTAGAACAACAGCGAATATAGAGAGGCATGGAGTCCGGCTGCTGAAAATCCTGACGCATGGGTTGAAAAGGTCCTCAGAAGCCGCAGCATCAGGCAAGCTGAGTTGGAACATGTGTCTGAGGACTATCCAGGCCCAGCGAAACAGGATCTCAGGTGCTCACAGTTCACAGTCCAGAAGTTGAGGCTTGGTGATCGAAATACTGAGCCATCAGGTAAGCTTGGCACCTGAGTGTGTCACTTAGTATCACCCCAATAGCCTGGAGGATAGGGGCCGAATATCCCATCTCGAAAATTGGATGGCGAAAGTCGGAGAGGTTCTCGTAGACCAAAGTCCTCGTATAAACGATGATCGAGTATGTTGGCTCTGGAAATGCATCAGAGACACCTCTGAAGGGAAGCCCGTGGTCAAGGACCAATTCCAGTCAACTTGACATGAGGGTGTCACTTCCTAACTGCGTCAGTCACCCCTGTGACATTGAGTCCACCTTCGTGCTGAGGGTCAGACTCCAAAAGAAGTTTCCCAGATCTCTGTTGCGCAATGCACTGTTGGTCGGTGCGCCGAACAGGGAAGACCCTCATCTCAATGTGAAGGCTCTGCAAATACAAACGAAGACGACGGGGTCATTGCTGCAGGACGGATATAAGACAGAAACAACAGCAATAATAATCGCAGGAGGACGTCCAGAAAAGACAGAGAGTCGAAGGGGAAACGGGTCGCAAATCCAGATTTTCTATCTTGTCCGGTGATCTCCAACTTATCAGGGGGACTCAATTATGAAGGGTGAAGCTGTGGCTCATCTTGGGCTGCAATCACCTTGACGTCGACAGACAGTGATTTGGTGCGCGTAAGAGCCGGCTGTGATGAGAGCCTCGAGAACGATCAATGCCTTGCTTTCCTGTTGGGTTACAAGTCATAGACATGAATACATACGCATGGGTTGACAGAGAACATGCATGACAGTTTTTGCCATTAACAGACCATAACATGCACGTCAATCGGTCAATGAGCGAGGTCGTCATTTCCGCCGTCACCGACGGTAGCTTCTGAACGGCAACCGGACGTCTAAACATTAAGAAGCTGAGCTCAACTCATTTAAGGCTGCCCGGAAGCGCACAGGGTGATATCCTGATATCCTCGAGTAGCAGAAAACAATATGCTGCAGAGAAAGAAACATGGCAGCCACTTCTGCTTATTGCATTGGCTGAATGATCAATCATTTGACTGCCATGCACATGGAAAGGCCAGTGAATTCAAGACAGCAATTGAAAGCTATTCACTCCCGGTTCGTTCCTGCCGTCCCTTTCGCAGATAGAGATGGTAAAGTCTTCAATGAGAAGCAAGCATGCAAGCAAAGCGACGCAGCATCTACATTTGGATATGCGATGGGCAGAGAAGAGATACCTCAGGTTAGGTCGGGCACCTTACGACCTAGATTGTCTATCCGGACCCGAACCAGTAAGACCGTCATATTGCACCACGTTTCTATGTCGGGAGCTTTTTGACATGACCAACTGGCTCCAGTCGGACCAGTCCTCCCTCTGGAGGCTAGACTAAGCCTGGCAGCATAGCTGACCTTCTAGAAGGCGCCTTAGAAGCCAAACGAGCATATGCATCAAGCATGGTGGCACCAGGTGCATCCACGCCCAAGAGAAGGGGCTGCGAACTGCTGACCGCGAATCTGAACCCGATGCAGTCTCACTGCCTCAGCCGTCGAGGCCGAACCGGGATGTGGGCCAAGAATTGTGTACACGGATGTGACGCAGTGGCTGATGTCGCTGCTGGATATCGCGGAAACGATATCACTAGTACAAGCTTAGAGGATCGAAATCCTCATAATCCATATGGATGGCAGAAGGACGACCAGGATTCAGAAGAGACTAGTAGACGTTCTCTTGAGTCCAGAAGATAAATTGAGCTCGCAGCATCAGCCAATCACCAGCAGATGCAGCACCCAGGTGCGTCTTGTCCGTCTTCCTCCAAAGTGTATTCAGAGAGTGAGAACGGAATCTCCACGGAGGGAACATGGCCACTCATTTTTCCCATAAAAACCGGAGTCATTCAACGCGTGGGCTCGACCACCTGAGGCAGAAAAACTGGATATCTCTTGCTGAGTGGGCGGCAACTCCGGCTCAAGAAAAGGGGTGTCTGAGGAGGACTGCTCCTACGATGTCACACGAGCAAAAAGCGAATAAAGGTAACAGACTGCTAAGCTTTGCTAAGCATTTCTCATACGTAAGAATCAAGAGTATGGCTGATTGTGAATGATGATCGACATTTATTATTGACATTGACTCTTCAAATCCTCTACCGTGGACTGAGACAGACGGAGCGTGGCCAGAAGATAACGGAGACCACGCTTGCATCGTGCGAGTTGTCTTCACGACTCATGTAGATAGAACTGGCAGTCTCGAGCAAAAGCTCGCTGAGCTCCGATCCCTCTTACGTCCCCGAAAGGCTGGCAGATATTGAAGTCGCGAGTGGGACTTGACGAAACATTTTCATGGATGGGAACGATGTTTCATGTGGCACAATTAATTGAATATTATTATTGAATCATGCATGTTGGTTCGAGGTCTGACCATGGGCTAAAATGCTCGATGGTCTGAGCTGACAACCTTGCAATGCAAACGCTCCCAGTTTATCTCGAAGCTGAGCGAATACTGATGTACAGGTGACACCACGATAGTAACATCACGAATAATCTCAAGACATGTATTCATAAAACCTACAGAACACCAGTATCAACAACATTGGAATCAAATGATGAGAGGAATAGTGGTATAACAAGCAATCCTACTTCGTAGAATACTACCATGGTGAAGTGGCTGCTATTAGCGCAGACGTAGGGAATGGGCATCTCACACGAGGCAGCTTGCCCTTTTACAGGTGACTGACAGGAACGTGTTCGAAAGAAGGAAGCTCACTGGTTGATGAAGATGGCAGATTGATGTCCAGATGCCAAGATTCCACTAGCTGTCATCTCCGCGTTGAGCCTTTTTGTTACCTTACCTTAGTTGGGTCTGACATGCGACTCATGCGAGGGGTGGACATTTGACCACGAGGCTTTTCAGGCAGTCTCAGATCAAAACTCATAGCGAATGAATTTAGAATTGTGATACACAAAGAGAAGCATGCGGAGCTGGAGGGCAGTGAAAATCGTGTGTATTATTATTGGATCTCCATACTCCGTACTCCCCGACCAAATAGGCCAATCCAGTTGGTTACCTGTTCAGTGTAACACCAATCGTCAAACCGACGTAACTCCGACAAGGATGAAGTTTCTCTAAAATATTGCCATCGCGACTGACGTCGAAGTTGATATCGATCCCTGTCAATAATTGAACATAGGTAGATAACTACTGACACCATAATGCATGTCTCAGGATATTAATTGCAGTCAATATCCGTAAAGCCCTTATTGATGTAGTCCATGGTTACTAGCGTGACCGCTCTTGTCCTCTGCAAGCGGCGTTTCTGTCCGGATGTGGGGGGTGAGAAAATGTGGCATTGTACAGTTTGATTGGCCAGTAAAAGAAATTTTCTAGAAGGCGGTGAAAGCCAATCTGGGTTTTCTGAGCAGATTCTGCCACCACGTGCGTCAATGATTGGCCAGCGGAGGCTGGTAGGATATCTCGTCCCGCTTTCCGATCCAGCAGGCAAAACTAGTTCCGCCGCTGACTTTCAATTTAGCTTACGGAAGTTATTGTTAAACTCGGAAAAATGACAAAATCAAGTGGAATTGTTGACCAATTTCGGTCTGAATTCGGACAGTAAAGAGAGAGGCAGCCAATCCCAATGGCCCCTGTCGGATGGACCCTCCAGCTAAGATGAGTTTGGCCATTCTAACAAACTTTCGAGGCCGGAGTGGTCCCTCTTTCTAGCTTGGGACGTTATGGAGTTGTCCGATGGTTGATTGTTCTCTCGACGACTTCGAGTGCAGGCTGCCGTGGAACCCGCCACTACTCTGGATCTGCCCAGACCTTTCGTCGACTTATCACAAAGCGCGAATTGCGCATGTGTCGGGAGCGACCTCTCGTGCTGGCCGCCGTCTACCTTTTGCCCAGACTTTTTTTCCTACCATCAGCCGTCCGCATATAAGATTCACAGGCCCGTTCGACTTGGCTTGCATTGTGCAACGCCTCGCAATCTCCTTTTAGTCCTACAAGGACGTTCTAAGCGTCTGCCACGATTTCTTGTCGTGAAGGTTAAGCTCTCCGTCAGGGTCTCGGATCTCTTATCCTTCAGCAACTCGACGAAAGAATGGCTGACTTTGGCCCACGTGCTCCTCATGGGCCCGATATGACGGGAACCCATGACCCTTTGGAGGACATGGATGTTCATGAGAAGGGCGCCTTCGATGCTCTCATTCGTCCGGATGACAGCTACACTCCGGATGGTGTCTACTGGGCGGATCTTCCCCTGGTGAAGAAGATCAAGTTCGTTGGTTCCTACGATGCCAAGGAAGCCAAGCGTGAGCTCAAGGGCATCTGGGATATGACCAAGAAGGACCCTCTGTCACCTGTGGCTTACTATTTCCGGAACATGGTGCTTCCTGGTGCTGGTCTTGGTCTGGAGGGGTAAGTGTTCCGTCTTGTCAAAGCAGATAGATTCTGCGGGAACGGTCAAATGCTAACATCTCGGTGTCTTCTCCGATTAGTTATGTGCTCTTTTCGATCGGAAACGTCAAGCCACTTTTCCAAGCCGCCTTCAAGTCGTGTTGGAAGGACCACAAGATTTGCAACCCTCAATGGATCAACGCCGTTGAGTACCTGGAGATTGTCGGTATCATTGTTGGTCAGGTTCTCGTCGGAGTTCTCGGTGACTGGTAGGATATCTCTATCCTCAATATTGTCGGTGTAGTGCCATGCTAATTGGGCATTAGGATTGGCCGTCGCTGGGGTCTTATTCAAGATGCCGCTATTATGCTTCTCGGTCTGGTTATGCTCGTCGCCGCCTGGGGTGTTAACCAGAATGGCTGGGTAATCTGCTATGCTTGGTCTCTGTTCATCTACGGTATTGGTGTTGGTAAGTCTTCCTATCTCTCTTGGTTTTCTTCTTCCGGGTACATATTGTCTGACTTGCAATAATAGGTGGCGAGTACCCAATGACTGCCACCAGCGGTATGGAAAATGCCGTTGGTTCTGGAAAAGTTTCCACCAAGGAGGATCGTCTGCACCGTGGTCGCAAGGTCACCAGTGCTTTCTTGATGCAGGGTTGGGGTCAGTTCTTCAACCAGGTCATCCTCATTATCTTGCTACTCTGCTTCCATCATGGAAGTGGCAATCCTCCCTACTCTAGCGTCGCCGCGCAGTGGACTTACCGTATTTCTTTCGCTATCCCTGCTGTTGGCACACTGTGGCTCGTCTACTACCGTACCTACCACATGAAGGCGGCTAGCAAGCAGCTCGCGGCCGCTAAGAAGAAGGCTTCGGTTACCGGCTACGATGTAACCTCTCTGAAGCTGGCCTTCAGTCACTTTGGTTTCCGTATCGTGGCTACCGCTGGTGGATGGTTCGCCAACGATGTCTTCTTCTACGGTAACAAGCTCTTCCAGAGTGAGTTCATCAAGGTGATCAGCCCCGAGACTACATCGATTATGCCCACCTGGCTCTGGAATCTGGTCAACGTCGGCGTGTCGCTGGTTGGTTACTATCTTGCCTCCTTCCTTATCGACAACAAGCTCTACGGGCGTAAATGGATGCAAATCGTCGGTTTCATGATGGATTTCATTCTCTTCATCGTTCCCGCTTTCCATTTCCAATACTACAGAGAGCCGGCGCACATCAAGGCCTTCCAGGCCATGTACTTCCTCAGTTCCTTCTTCAACCAGTTCGGTCCCAACTCGGTCACCTTCTTGGTTGCTGCGGAGGTTTTCCCTACACCAATTCGTGCCACAGCTCACGGCCTGTCTGCTGCCGCCGGTAAGCTGGGTGCTCTGTTGGCATCCGTTCTGTACAACTATATCGACACCCAGACGAAGTTCTACGTTGTACCTTGGTTCGGTCTGGCGGGTGTGGTCCTGACCTACCTTTTCCTTCCTGATACCACTGGTCTTGACCTGAAGGAGCAGGAGCGTCGCTGGGCTTTCATCCGGTCTGGTCGTGAACACGAGTACCATGGTCCTGCTGTTCATCCCAAGCACTTGTCCGTCTGGGAGCGTCTTCGCGGAAAGGGCAAGTACTACGACGCCGAACTCGACTACAAGCAGAAAGTCGAAGAATTCCGTGCCGAGTGGGAGGCAGCCATGGCCCGCAAGGTTTCTGAGAACGACAAGGGAGAGGATCTCGCGTTTGACACCGACGAGTCTCTGCTTGAGGGTCACGTCCACTCTTACTTCCACCGGACCAGCCCCATGTTCAGGGGTATGGAGGAAAAGCCCGCCAAGTCGGATAACTTCGCCCTGCCCCCTGCTGCGCAAGAAGGTGACTCTACTGATTCTTTCAATGAGAAGACACAACACTAGAGCGCCACCACAAATTTCACTTCTCTGAAAATAATTCAGCTTGTATATTCCATTTGCTTTCTTTTTTGAGGAAGGGTTTCTTCTCCATTCCTCCTGTTCTGGGAAAAGGACCTTGTTTTCTTCAACTGCTACATACCCTCTCGCGTGATTGTTGCATGGCACTGTTGGATTAATGTTCTCATACCCCATTTCCGGTTCAATGTCTAGATGATTGGACCGGTTATCAACTGTGAATAGATCTAAATTCCCGTCTAGAAACCCTCTTGGGCAATGAATTTCTAGCGACTCTTTTCACTTCATGACACATATATTTTCCAGTGATCGATTCTCCTGTCGGTCTTTCTAGAGTAGTGGTGATGCTCGCGCGGTAGACTTGCGGAAGCTTCAACAATCATACCTGGGTAATTTCCAAAACCGGAAAATACGAGATCAACCCCATTTAGTTGACGAATTCTGCCAGTCAGAAAGAAGGACTAGTGCGTTAATAGTAAGCGCTCAAGGAGGCGGTGGGTTTAATTGCTGTTTACACTGACGGAGTACACCCATCGAAGCCTGGACTTCAACTACTCCATCGGTCATGGTTCCAGGATACTCTCGCGAATATCACAATTAAGCGAATGCGATATTGAGCCACTGTCGTCAAATTGGCCATCTAGCATGCCGCTTTTTGCATTTGGCTCGAACGGATCGGGCCAACTGGGCATCGGACATGATGAAGATGTCTCTGTCCCTACAAGATGCCTCTTTGAAGAAGGCCAGACACCTTCTGAAGAGGGAAATGGCATACAGGCGAAGAATATCTCCCGTATCGTTGCAGGGGGGAATCATACCCTCATCTTGTATCAAGACGGATCGGTATATGCCGCCGGCTGTAACGAGGATGGCAGATGCGGACACAGCCCCGCAACTGCATCGCTGCAGATGTTCAAGCGGGTGATTGTCAAAAGTGGAGATGATGGTACTTGCTACGATACGTTCAAGCACTTGTCGGCGACGTGGGAGGGGACGTTCCTGGTTGCTGGATCTGAAGACCCGTCTGGTGAGGCGGACAGTATATTTGTAATTGGTTCAGGAGCGAAGGGAGAGCTGGGACTTGGACAGGGATGCACGAAGGCAGTTGAACCGACAAGGATTCCTAATTTTCCTCCTCAAGGGACAAAAGTTGTGTCGATTACCAGTGGCATGGGGCATACGGTTGTAGTGTTGTCCAATGGGGAGGTTTATGGCTGGGGAGGAGCAAGAAAAGGTCAACTTGGGGAATCAGCCAGGGGAATGAAGATTGTATGGTGTCCTACAAAAGTTGAAGGGATTTCCTTTCAAGTCAAGGGTGCGGTTTGTGGTCGCGAGTTTACGGTAGTTTCGGGCAACAAATCCGCAGGGGAATATGCCATTATTGGCTCATGCGATAACAAGTGGAATATTCTGTCTGATGCTCCTGCATCCCAATCGTTGACAGACTACCGAGGTATAGCAGCCAGTTGGCATGGTGTCTATGTACATCAGAACGACTTCTCTGCCATCGCCTGGGGACGGAATGATCGAGGCCAGCTTCCTCCTCCGGACCTGCCTCGGTCTCAGAAACTGGCTGTGGGAAGTGAACATGTTCTCGCACTTCTTGATGAGCACACTGTTGCGGCATTTGGTTGGGGCGAACACGGTAACTGTGGCCCTGATATCGATGCGCAAGGCAATGTGAACGGAACGTACAAGCAAGTCCCGCTTGAGATGCTTCAGGGCTCTAAGGTTGTCGGCATTGGTGCAGGCTGTGCAACGAGCTGGATTATAGCATCATGACCATCCTGCGACTTGTGAAAGCCAAAAAATGTAATGATGGTTGAATCAACTCGCAGACTGGATCCCATGTGATCCACCCACTGGGCTTTGAAATTGACGACAGTGGACATCAACAATCTAATCGAAAAGTCCGAGACCACGAACCTACTGACTGTTAGCTCGTCCTTTGACAAGGGGCGCCGACCAACCTGTGAAATGCGTTGTGTTGGAGGAATGCCAATTTCTTCCTGAGGCTCTTGCTGGTTTGAGTCATGTGGCAGAACGGGTTCAGTGTCTCGCAAGCGAGGCCCAAGGCTTGCGTTGAATGTCTCCTGAAAAGCACAATCAATGATTCCCCTTCACAATACGACCTTGGAGCCCTTACCTGATCAGCTGTAGCGTCCCAGCCAAGCGTGTCCTCAGCCATAGTCTCGTCCTCCTCATTCGGCACATCCCACTGCCTGTCGTCATCGGCTGGCACAAACAGACTGTCAAAGTGAACTGATGGTGGCGGTGGCTGCTGACTCCCAACACTAGTAGTCTCTTTGACGCGGTTGGTTGTCCCAGTAAGCGGTCGAATTGATCGACTCCGAGGAGGTGGCATCGGTTCGATATTCGAGGCAGCATTGTTCTGAGAGACGTGCACCGGCGCGGGCGTTTGTCTTGCGGACAGCTCGGGAATGGCTGCTCGCGATGATGGGAAGTCCTCACTATCATCTTCGCCTGTCGTCATTAAGGTGAATTCGGTCCTAACCCCCTCGAAGTCATATGCAAGCTGCAGTGGTCTGCACGGGCGAGTGTACCGAGCGGTGATCAGGACGCCTGTTGTCTCTGCATGGGTTATAATCGCTTTGAAGTCCTTCAGACTAATGGCAATATGAAGTTCATCTTCAGCCGAAAAATCCTCAAAGTCTCTTTTATCGATAGCCACGGAAGTGTGTACTGGTTGTTTGAGGATTTCTGCAGGCAGACTAGTCAGTTCCAGTTGACCGACAGAGCTACTCAATGGCGCAGACCTTGCCCGTCAGTGATCTTCGTTGTAAAGCTTGTAAAGATGGCCTTGCCACCATCGGAGTAGATATCCAGTTGCTCTGCTGACGGACTAAAGTGGTCGGTAATTTCCTTCAAAAACCTGGGGTCGATGCTCCATCTATTAGTCGCGCTAGACCTGTCGAAGATGGCATGCTGAGCGGTAGTCGGTTCATAAGTGAGCTTGTAAGTCCTAATGACGCCTGCCGAGTTAAGACAGTCACTCCGTAAGTACTTTGGACCCCTAAGTGGCGGAGATAGACTGCAAAGACGCACCCAGTCCACAGATCATTCTAATGACGAGCCTACATTCTGTCTCGTCTGGATCTTCGTTGAGTTCGAACTCGCAGCGTTCGACCGCTGTGTCCTTATCTCGTCCAGTGGTCCTCCCTTTGAAGATGGACAGCAAAGCCTTTCTTAGTCAGCCTCATCACACAACGCTCGGTTCTGGGCCACTCTCACTTTGAGATAAATTTGGCAGCAGAATCTGTCTGACCGGACGTTTTCGCTCTGGCCATTATGACTGAATGAGTAAGTTGTGAAGGAACTTGCTCCGTCGAGGACAAATGCAGCATATGCGGTCTTGCTGGAGTTTATGACGCTTAGACGCAGCTACGATTTTCGTCAGTCATTGTGACACTCGTTGAACTTCAGTAGTTCAGTATGATCTCACTAAAGTAGATTCAGCCTCTATAGCGACCGTCTCACTGAATTTGGCCAGACATAAAAGGGCATCATGCATTCGCCCTAATGCCTCTGGATTGAGTGAGAAAAATAGCGATGTCATGTCCGTCTTTAGAGGGATCAAGACGCGAGATTCCACTGTTATCAAAATGTCATCATCATATAGCTGAAAACCCCATAATACCTGATGTTGCTTTTCGTTATCGTTCTCCCTCATCGATTCGTTCAATCGCCCCAAGTCACGAACCGAGCTTACATAATCTGGGCCTGGAAGTAAGGCTTACTCGACCGCAATCCAGGGCAGCATCAACAGCAGGCAAGTCTTCAGTTTTGAGCAATCTGTTTTTATGTTGCGTCTAATCAGCGTTATTATCCGGAGTTTCGACGGAGACGGGTGAAAATCCGCCGCGAGTATGGCCTCAAGGTTGCCTGGTGACATTATCTACCTCATCGTGGAGATCCTGGGAGAAGAGAGGGACTTCAACAGCCTGTTCCAGTGTGCTGTGTCTGCGAAATGTTTTACTGAGCAAGCTGTCACCACTATATATAAGTAGGTCCATATGTTCTATGTTATTGTCCTCTACAGATTCGCTGACCGTGTGAATACAGATCACACGAGCTCTCGCCTGTCAGAGGCGGCGGGACTGAACTTGGCATCCTGGACTCGACACATACTCGACGAAAATGGGCCACTATGTGGCGCTCTATTGTGCTTTCTGCTCTTGATCAAACCTATCTTCCGTACTACAGTTACATCCGGTATTTGGATCTTAACGATTTATCGAATCTCCTCAGCCATAGCTCGTTCACTGGGAAGATCAAAGAGTATGTCCTGGCGAGACTTGCGGGAACTGTATTTGACAAGATCTAGCGACTTCTTTACTCCCGAACTTCGGGATCTTGTGTCTCACGGTTATGAGCTCAAGGGAAATAAGCGTCTTCGCTCACTGCGGACACTGCCTGACAATGATTGGATCTTATCCAAGATCGGTGCTGGTCAGTCTTCTCCCGGATGTACCGTGTCCAGACTCCCTTGGATATGCAACCCCATTCATGGTTGTCCTTCTAAAAGCTGAGAAGATCAAAGCTATTATCAAAAGAACTCCCTCGATACGCGGAATGTCCTGCGACAGTAAGTGGGAAATCCGAAATGTCTAGCGAAACGGGCCTCTGTGCCAGAAGCAAGTTTGACGTCTCGACTAATTCTAGTCGAACCTTCACTATTGGCCGAGTGGCTGGGGAAACTGCCATTGTTACAGAATCTGACTATCTGGTCTGGAGTTTCCCTAACTGACCATGCCGGTGACAAAATCCGAACCCACTGCCCCGATTTCAGGCAAATCACGATATATCGATGGTAAGATATCAGTGTTGGTGTTCGGCAAAGCAATATATTTACTGAGTCGGCCAGGATCGACGAACAAGGCCGAAATTCGGAGACTGATGCTGAGGAGTTTCTCCACGGACTCCAGCCTGACAGTCTTGAGTATTTCGAGATGCTGAGCTCTTGTCAGTTAGGGCCACGTTCGATAAGAGCCATCGGCACGCAGTTGAAATCACTAAAAGAGCTGAAATTGACAAGCCTTGGGATTGAAGCAATTGCAGAGTTGCCTTCATTAACAGCGCCGCCAGTGCTGGGGGTGCTTGTACTGACCGATTCAATACCAGCAGCGCGGAACGAAGACTTTTATTCCACAGTCAGTCGAGTTGCCGATTGGATTGGTACCTGCAAGGCACTGCGACACCTGGAGCTTAGAAGATTTGTCGATGACACGTTTCTACTGGCACGTGTCCTGGTTGCCGAGGATATTAAGCTGCTGAGTTTGTCTCTGACTGGGTACACAATGGTTGGCTCCCGTCACTTCCACAGAGCTTTGGCGTCTCAAGATTCTCTGCAACGTCTCAGTCTCCGAGGTGAAGGGTCCGAGATCCCCGAAGATAATGAGTTGCTTGTCCAAGCCATTTGCCAGCTACACAATCTGCATGAACTCGAGCTCAAGGATATTTCCGATTATTTCACACCAGATCATCTTATGTCACTCACACCATATCTTCCCCATTTGGAGAAATTGTGGATCGGAGGTGATCTCTTCAATGATGACGTATGGAATGCATTTTTATGCCTTCCAAAGCTACGAAGTCTGGCCATCCATGCGCTCAGCGAGTTCACGGCTCAGGGTATACTCGATTTCATCGCGCAATTGGGGCCCGGTAACACAGGGATGAGTCTCACGATTTTGAACTCAATAACAAGTCTCACAGAGGAAGCACAGAGCTTGATTCGCGATATTTTGAAACACAATCTTGATGGGACCTTTGACTTCGGTCTTGCACAGGGTGAGCGCCAGATCTCAGCCTGATAGACGATGCTAGCTGCTGACGTGAGTGATGCAGAGGAATTCAGCGATACCGACACGGAAGGGATGTCAGACTGATTGACGAGAATACATCTTAAACGAGCCTGCTCAGGAGCTAGAGTTACCTTGGGCTCATATTTCCGATATGCCAAAAAAGTAGAGATAGTTATCGGTTTCTTGTAGAGCGATCTCCGTGTCGCAAAGATTGAAACTCAAGTATTATTCAAAATCTAGCCTTCAGCCATGATCTTTCCGTCTCTACTCCGTACAACCCGATCAGGTCGAATGTTTTGATTTGAGTGATCCTCTCATGGTGGAAGTCCTACTAGACCAGCCCACTTTAACCGAATGGGGATTGGCGGAGGCGCGTCCAAACCGCGTCCCCAACGCGTTGTCATTTCCTTGCGCGATAGCCCGCATGGACCGCCATCCCTTCCCCAGTCCACACTATTCAAGATTTCAAGATTCAATTACTGGACAATTGCAGAACCCAGTCAACACCGGCGAAGTCATTGATGACCACCCATCGATAGGTCGACCGCAATCATCGCGCCATGTCTGCCGCACGCGCGAAGTTGGCAGAGCTGCGAGCTCTTCGTGCAGCAGGAAAGAAACGTCTATCGACATACGAGATTGAAGAACAAGACGACATCTACGAAGAGGTCGATGACGAAGGTTACAAGAAAATTATCCGTGACCGGCTGGATCAGGATGATTTCGTGGTCGACGACAACGGTGAAGGATACGCGGATGATGGACGGGAAGTATGGAACGAACGAGTAGCGGACTACAACAGCGAAAGCGACGATGACGGGTTACCAGGGCGCAGCAAAGCTGCCAAAAGGAAGCGGGAAGAGGAGAAGCAGAGAAAAGAGAAAATCAACAATGGTATCTCAAAATACTTCAACACTGGACCTGCTGCGTCTGCTCCGAAGCCGAAAGTGAGTCTTATTCGCTTTGCACGATGAATAGCGTTAGTTCTAATGGGAATAGCCCGTTGTCACGGCAGAAGACGAAGCTTTTATGGCAGATCTCCTCGGAGAAGTCGATACCAATGTCGTCGCGAACCATATTCCTACGCAAAACGTGATCAAGTCGGAAACTCGACGCAAAGTCCGCATTCTTTCGCCTCCGTTAGCCTCAAAGCCACGGAATGAGAGGATCAGCAGAAAGGACGAGAACAGCGAGCCGCTCTCGCCGGTTAACCAAGCACCGGACCTCGAGTTCGAAGACGACGATGGACCCCTCCCTACAATGGATGACGGCGACGTGGCCATGAGTGATCCTATGCCATCTTCGCCCATCAGCAAAGTAGTTGAGAGGAAGTCGAATGCCAACGTAAAGAAGGAAGAATCTGATGAAGAGGACAACGATCTCATGGAGATTGCTCCAGCAACAGGACAAAGTGAAGCCAAAATGACTAGCGTTAATATGGCTGGAAGCCGTCCGCCTCCGAAGATAAAGAAGGAGAATTATGCCACTCCTGCGAACTCTTCTCCCGCGAAAGCACCTGTGGACGTTCTGAACGCTTCTTGGAACGACGTTCGGAGTAAACTGAACGTCCTTAGCAGTCCAGCAACGGAATCACGGACTTTCGGTAAGCTTCGTGCACAGGATGTGATCGAAGAAGACGGAAGTTTGCGCATGTTTTGGCTCGACTATACGGAGGTCAACGGCAGTTTATGCTTATTTGGCAAGGTGAAGAACAAGCACACAGGTTCTCATGTCAGCGCTTTCGTCAAAATCGACAATATCCTCCGAAAGCTTTTTTTCCTTCCTCGGGAGTACAGATATAAACATGGTCGAGTGACCGATGAGGAGGTGGATATGAAAGATGTCTATGAAGAGGTTGATGAGATGATGTCCAGGCTCAAAGTCGGAATGCATAAGATCAAACCGTGCACACGCAAGTACGCATTTGAATTGCCCGATATTCCCAAGGAAGCAGAGTACTTGAAATTGCTCTACCCGTACGACAAGCCGACATTACCGATGGAAACCAAGGGCGAAACGTTCTCTCATGTCTTCGGAACCAACACCTCTCTCTTCGAGCAATTTGTGCTTTGGAAAAACATCATGGGTCCATGTTGGCTCAAGATTGAGGATGCGGATTTTACAGCTGTCAACAACGCGTCATGGTGCAAGTTCGAGTGCCAGGTTGCAAGACCTGCTTCCATTACACCTGTGCCTGACACGGAGAATCTGGAGCCGCCGCCCCTTACACTGATGAGTCTTGCTTTCAGGACTCAACTCAATGTAAAGGAGAATAAGCAAGAAATTTTGGTGGCAAGTGCACGCGTTTACGAAAACGTCTCGCTCACGGACACTACTCCTCCTGAGAAACTCCCTTGCAAGACATTCACTGTCATGCGACCAGTTGGCTCTTCATACCCGCTTCATTTCGAGGCTGAGACGCGCAAGCAACGAGGCACTTTCATGCTGGAAAAGAGCGAACAATTTCTGCTGAGCAAATTCCTGGCATTGTTCGAAAAAATGGATCCTGATGTCCTTATGGGACATCAACTACAAGAAGTCGACCTCAGCATTCTTCTCAGTCGCTTGAAAGAAAAGAAGACCCCCGGCTGGCATCGCATTGGACGTCTAAAGCGTGGCGAGTGGCCCAAGAGCTTCAACAAAGGCGGAGGATTCTTTGCTGAAAGGCACTTGATCGCAGGAAGATTGATGTGCGATGTAGCGAATGACATGGGAAAGGTAAGATCTTCTTGGCGATATGTCGAGAATTATATGTTAACATCACCAGTCTCTCATGATGAAATGTCAATCGTGGAGCTTAACAGAAATGTGCGAACTCTACCTTGGAGACGGCAATACACGGCAGGAACTGGATACTGAGGCGGCATTGAAGACTTGGGCTACCTCCAAAGAAGGTCTCATGAACTTTGTGAACCACTGCGATGCGGACACCTATTTTATTGCTGCGCTGGTGTTGCGGCTGCAAATGTTGTCACTCACCAAAGTTCTCACAAACATTGCTGGCAATTCCTGGGCTCGAACCCTCAGTGGTACTCGCGCTGAGCGTAACGAATACATCTTGCTGCATGAGTTCCACCGAAACAAATACATCTGCCCTGACAAATACTCATCCAAGCTGCAGAAGGTGGAAGAGAAGAATCAGGATGGCGACGATGATGATGCCGGTGACAAGAAGAAGAAAGACAAATACAAAGGAGGTCTTGTCTTCGAGCCCGAAAAGGGTCTCTATGACAAGTTTGTCTTGGTCATGGACTTCAACAGTTTGTACCCGAGCATCATCCAAGAGTACAATATCTGCTTCACGACCGTGGATCGGACTGCCACGGTAAGCACTCAACCGTTGTTTTGACCAATCCATTCGGAACCCCTGCTAACGTGATTTTCAGGCTGAAAATGAGAACGAAGAAAAAGTGCCCGAAGTTCCTTCCTCGGATCAAGAACAGGGTATTCTTCCTAAACTCATTGCCACGCTTGTTGGTCGCCGTCGCGAAGTAAAGAAGTTGATGAAGTCCAAATCCGCAACACCTGAACAGCTTGCGCTGTGGGACACCAAGCAATTGGCCTTTAAGTTGACCGCTAACTCTATGTATGGATGTTTGGGTTATACGCAGAGTCGTTTCTATGCTCGTCCTCTGGCAATGCTCACAACTTTCAAGGGTCGTGAGATTCTGAGGAGCACCAAGGAGCTTGCGGAATCAAAGCAGCTCCGCGTCATCTATGGTGATACCGATTCTGTTATGATTAACACCAACATGGACACTATCAGTGATGCACTCAAGGTTGGCGAGGAGTTCAAGAAATCCGTCAACGAACGATACCGGCTTCTGGAGATAGATATCGACAACATCTTCCGTCGCCTGTTATTGCACGCTAAAAAGAAGTATGCGGCCGTCAACATGACTGAGGTGGACGGAAAGTTTGTGGATAAGCTCGAGGTCAAAGGTTTGGATATGAAACGTCGTGAATACTGTGCGCTATCGAAGGAAGTATCTCAGAAACTTCTTAATGAAGTTCTCTCCGGTGAAGACCAAGAGCTGGTTCTCAATCGGGTTCACGACTACCTTCGGGACCTAGCCGACAAAATGCGCGGGTACCAGATTCCAGTTCAGAAATACGTGATCTACACGGTAAGCTTCCAGCCGTGACGATCTCTCTTCCATTGCTAATGCTTTCTACAGAAACTGTCTAAACGGCCAGAGGAATACCCCAACAAGGAAACGATGCCTCCCGCACAAGTTGCGCTGCGTGAGCTCGCCCGTGGCAAGACAATTCGACCCAACGATGTCATTTCATACATTGTGACGAATGGAGACTCGGAGACCTCATCGCTACCACCAGCGAAGCGGTCGTATACCGTTCATGATGTCATGAAGTCTGATAATAACCTCAAGCCCGATATTGAATTTTACCTCCTTAAGCAGATTTTCCCTCCCATTGAGCGTCTTTGTGCGCCTATTCCGGGTACTGATGCAGTTCGTCTAGCTGAGTGTCTGGGTCTGGATGTACGCAAGTATCAAATCAATACGTCCAGTGGAAGCAACCAGCAGAATGCGGATATCTTTCCGTTGGAGTCCCAGATTCCAGACTCTGTGCGTTTCGAGAATGCTGCTCGTCTTACACTGACTTGTCGATCTTGCAAAGAGAAGTCTATCTTTGAGGGACTCGTGGCCTCGACTCATATGTGTACAGCCAACGGCATTGTCTGCCCTAACCAAGCATGTCAAAAACCTTTCACCGTGCTGACGATAATTGCACAATTGGAGAGCCAAATTCGTGCTCAAACGTCAAAGTACTACGAAGGCTGGCTAGTTTGTGATGACTCTGCATGCGGCAACCGCACTCGCCAAATGAGCGTTTATGGGCACCGGTGCCTGGGGCCTCGTGGCCGCGCTGAGGGCTGCCTTGGACGTATGACCTATGAGTACTCGGAGAAGCAGATGTATAACCAATTGCTTTACTTTGCAGGTCTTTGGGATGTGGACAAGGCTAAAGCCAATGCCCAGAAGGAGGCCAGCGGCGAAAAGAAAGACAGCATCGCAGCGCTGGTCGAATTCAATCGCACTCGCTTCGGCACCATCAAGGGTGTGGTGGATGGCTACCTGAAGAAATGCGGCCGACAATGGGTTGAAATGGATGCCCTTTTCCGGTTCATGCTTCCGTAAATGATTAACTATCATGCGATCTGACTGGGTTATTGGAATTTGTATATACAGGGACATTTGGATGGTTTGGGGCTCTCGTCTGTGGATAGCGTAATGATTTCACTGTTTGTATGATGACTGGTAGCATTTCTTCGCTTGACCAACGCTGCATTTTGTAATGTGCAAAAGAAAACTGACCCGACAAGTTTATCGTACGTCGTGAGTCTCGCTTGAGACTGCTTCTGGATGTACAGTTATCTACAAAGCTACGTAGTTTTGTTTTAGGGCGCTCTATCTTATCGGCCTCTTATCGAGTAAAGCCCCGCAATGGAAATTTCCCCACTGATGGGATTCCCGGTGGACTTACTGTTGGCACTCGGCACTTGTCTCGTCTTAGTGCCGTGCATTCTACAACGCATTCAATCATTCTCAGACAAACTCTGAATCAATTATCTCCATCAGCCGTCCTGAATCGATCAGCTCGGAGATATTGCCATCCCTACCATGTCCATCAAGCGGGTTTTAATCATCGCCGGCTCGGACAGCTCAGGCGGCGCGTATGTCATTGTTTCCTAAAAAAGGAATGTAGATGTCTGACTAACGCGTTGAAATGAATCAGCGGATTAGAAGCTGATCAGAGGGTTCTTGCTGCTCATGGTGTTTATGCTCTAACAGCGACGACGGGTTTAACCGCCCAGAACACCTTGGGGGTGCAAGACATTTTTATCGTCCCTGCGCAGTTTGTGAAGAAGCAGATCAATGCTGGGTTGGAGGATGTGGGAGCAGATGTTATCAAACTAGGTATGAGTATCATGCATTAAGATTTCTTTCCTTTGTTACTGTCGCCTACTTTTCCGACTTCTACCCATCTGTCCGGCAATTGCAGCTAATTGAGAACGCAGGAATGCTCTCCTCTGAGGAGACAATTGATGTCATCGCCGAGGCTTTGATTTCGCATCAAATCCCTTCCGTGGTTTTGGATCCGGTAATTCCATTAGGTTAAATTGTTCGAAGTAAAGTTTCTGAGATTGAACCATAAACAGGTTATGGTCTCTACAAGCGGATCTCAATTGTTACCCGAAGCAGCTGTAAAGAGTCTGCGCACAAAGCTACTACCCCTGACGACCATCCTCACTCCTAACATCCCTGAGGCGATGCTCTTACTAAAAGATGCCGGGGTGGATGTACAAGAACCGAAGGACCTTTCCGAGCTCACTCAACTCGCAAAGCAAGTTCGTGCTTTGGGTCCCAAAGCTGTGCTTTTGAAAGGCGGTCATTTACCTCTTACAGCAGCCCACGAGGCGGCGCAGAACCCGGAAGATGCGTCAAGAGTGATCGATATTCTGTACGACGGAGAAAACGCCACGCTCTTCGAGACTGGATTCCTCATGTCCAAGAACACTCATGGCACGGGCTGCTCTCTGGCGTCAGCCATTGCAGCCAATCTGGCCCTTGGGAAGGATATGAAACGAGCGGTTCACAGTGCTGTCCGATTTGTCGAAGCGGGAATCAAGACGAGTGTCGATATGGGCAAGGGAAGTGGTCCAATCAACCACTTTCACTCCGTGTATTCGTTGCCATTTGCACCGTAGGTTCTGCTATTCTAACTCCTTGCCCTTGGGACTAACGCACCTCAGCGATCGTTTCCTTGAGTATGCTCTCGCCCGACCTGATGTCCGTCCGATATGGAAGAAGTTTACAGAGCATGAGTTTGTTCACGGCCTGGGCAGTGGAAAGCTCCCTGTGGAGCGGTTTAAGCAATACCTGGTGCAAGACTATCTCTACTTGGTGAGAAACTCCTGATATTTTTTGCCAGTTACCCGAGGATTGCTGACCTGCTGGTTCCTTCAGGTTCATTTCGCCCGCAGCAACTCGCTGGCTGCTTATAAAGCAAAATCCATGGCGTCTATTGCCGCAGTTAGTTTGCTCACCAAGAAACTATTTTCATTGAAAGGCTCGACGCTGATGTGATCAAAAATTTAGTCTGCCAAGATCGTATTACATATTGAACGGGAGACGGCTTTGCACTTGGACTACTGTGCCTCCTTTGGCTTGTCCAAGGCAGAAATGGAGAGTTACCCTGAAAGCCTTGGTGAGTATCCAAGCTTTCAGCTGCTTCTTGCCTGATTGCTGCTGACTCTCAGTCTAGCCTGTACGGCGTACAGCCGGTACATTCTCGACGTAGGACAATCGGAGGATTGGCTCGCACTGCAGATGGCTCTTGCACCCTGTCTCATCGGTTACGGAGCCATTGCCAAGCGACTGTACACTGAGAAAGAGACCCTTCGAGAGGACAATCGCTATTGGCAGTGGATTGAGAATTATGTTGCTGAAGACTACACGGAGGCTGTCCGATTGGGATCTGGTAAGAATACAATTATTTTCTTCGCAACGTACCTAAGCGTATGTGGCTGACAAAAGTGTTCTAGAACTACTGGAGACACACATGCGACAGGTCTCACCCAGTCGGATGGAGGAACTGATCAAGATCTTCATCCGGGCAACGGAGTTGGAAATCAGCTTCTGGGATATGGGATTGGGTGACCACCCACGAGCGCACATGACTTCATTGAGCGCGTAGCAAATCCTATATAGAGTTGACTAGTAGACTGTAGAATATCAATGGCAAGATTAGATGTTTAATGCCACTTCAGAGAATAATCACTGGAGCTATAGTTCCTAGAAGAATAGACAATACAGCATCCAGGGGAAATGCCCAAGGCTCTCTTTTTCAGCAGTGTTTGCCTGATTTCATGCTCCCATACATTGATGTGACCACACAACTGAACAGACAGGCCTCTGGTGCTGATGGCCGGTATCCCCTCATGACCTTGGGTTAATGGGTTCATCCTTTGCCTGGATCATCAGAGCCTCTAGGAACCCCCAGGCCCAGACAACGATCAACTACAATCTCTTCTTACAGTTCAAATCCTCTTCTATCCGGTATGTATATCCTCCCATCACTAGAACAGCATGTTTCCTGCTTGCCTCATATCCGCATCATGCGCCAATCGAGATGTTCGAAGAATGAAGGCTGCTTGGATACTAAAGTCTTCCTGAGGTTTAAGATAACGTTAAGACTCACGAGTCTCTGGGCGTGACAAATCCAACATATTTGACCTTGCCTCAATGATGCAATAAGCCTTGAAACAAGACTACCGGAAGTTGTCTCCGGATCATTACGTTGCGGGTTGCCAGTGCACCAGGATTATGTTTCAGAGGCAATAAAGCATAATCCAAAGAACACGCTCAACATCTTCTTCCAAATAATTGGGAAATCAATGAACCGATAAACGAGCTGAAGCGTCCAGCCCTTGCAGGATTTGCTATATGTAGCAAACTTAAGTTACTCATTCACCACTGTCCCAAATATAGCGAAGACGAGGAGATGAGCATTTAGCTTCAGAATATGGGGCAGACCCAAACCGACAATGTCCGATCGACCTCACGCCATTGTCTCGGGCCGTTGAACATGCTCCGCTTCATAGCATCAAGCTTCTTCTAGATCGTGGAGGAGGCATCCGCAAGGGACAACTAGTCCATCATGCTATTGACCAGCAGGCTGATGTCGTTATGTGCTAGCCATGCTTCTTGAAGGGGTGCACGATTGAACCCGAAGATGTATAAAAATCAAATGTCTCATAGAGACTATATCACTTCATGGGCCTCGGCACCGCTCTAACAAAGCAGCAGATTCAGGCAAAGTAGATGCAGTACATTATCTGATCAGATAGGGGCAGATACCAGGATCAAGGACGTAATAGGTCAGAGTACATTGGACTGAGCGACAAAATCTGGTCATCTGAAAATCATTGAGTTGCTTCAATAGAAATGGCAAAATCCTATTCCTGATCTCTATTCGTTACCGTGGCTTTGCTGTACCATTAGCTAAGACCTTTGTGTTACAGAGGCGATATCTTTCACGTGATTTGTGGCAAAAAGGCGGTAAAGGAAAAGTCTAGCCCACGCTAACCACAACAGGAAAGTCCCTTATTCGCCGCTTCCTCTTCCTTTTCACTCGCTCATTTCCACTTTTTCTTGCCGCTGAGATCTTTTTTCTTTCCTCCTCGCCCCATCTCTCTCTCTCTCTTTATCCCCCTTACCTCTCTTTTTCATCTGGATCGGACACCGTTCCGTCTTCAACTCTCTCTCAGTAGTCTTGTTACCTACTTCAGGTACTTTCTAGTCTACTTCTTGTGACTTTTTGTTCCCCTTTCTACCTTCATCGTTGTCGTTTTCTGTCCCATCAAAATAACACAAAACTACACCATGTCTTCTTACGGTGGCGGTTATCAGCGCGAGTCGCGCGGCGATTCTTATCGGTAAGTTCCATCATTTTGAGACAAAATTCATCAGATTCCGGAGATACCTCAAGTGATGTGTTGTTGAAATGTATCGCCTTGGCCTGGGTTGGGTATCACTTACAGGGATTCTCACTCACCCGCCTGTGGCCAACTGAATGTTGCTATCTAGCGTTCTGCGCGATATAGCCCGCAACACATCATACCTTTGTTTGGCGTCGATGATGGCTTGAGTTATCTCTGAAAATCTGGAAACTTCAACATCTGTGATTCAGTTAATAACTGACAAATGCATGCAGCTCTAGAGGTGGTCACGATGGCGGTTATCAAAATGGCAACGGCTACTCTGGCGGTGGTGGCTACGGCGGTGGCTATGGCAATGGCTATGGTCGCGGTGGAGGTGCCGCTGGTGGTGATCGCATGTCGAACCTGGGCGCTGGCTTGAAGAAGCAAGATTGGGGTAAGTTGACTACCTTTGATTCTCGTTCTGATTTTGTGCTGACTTGCTATCCCTAGATTTGGACACCCTCCCCAAGTTCGAAAAGTCATTCTACAAGGAGCATCCCGATGTTGCCGCTCGCTCTGAGCGCGAGGTTGAGGAGTTCCGCAAGAAACACGAGATGACTGTACAGGGACGCAATGTGCCTCGTCCCGTCGAGAATTTCGACGAGGCTGGGTTCCCCCAGTACGTCCTGAGTGAGGTCAAGGCTCAAGGCTTCGAGCGTCCCACTGCCATTCAGTCTCAGGGTTGGCCTATGGCTCTTTCCGGTCGGGATGTCGTCGGTATCGCCGAAACTGGTTCCGGAAAGACACTCACCTACTGCCTCCCTGCCATTGTTCACATCAACGCTCAGCCTCTCCTCGCTCCTGGCGATGGTCCAATTGTCCTCATCCTCGCTCCTACCCGTGAGCTTGCTGTTCAGATTCAGACCGAAATTAGCAAGTTCGGAAAGTCTTCCCGGATTCGCAACACTTGCGTCTACGGTGGTGTCCCCAAGGGTCCTCAGATTCGTGATCTGAGCCGCGGCGTCGAAGTCTGCATCGCAACCCCTGGTCGTCTGATTGACATGCTGGAAGCTGGCCGGACCAATCTCCGCCGTGTCACGTACCTCGTTCTTGACGAAGCTGACCGCATGCTGGACATGGGTTTCGAACCTCAGATTCGCAAGATCATTTCTCAGATTCGTCCTGACAGACAGACCTGCATGTGGTCCGCCACTTGGCCCAAGGAAGTCCGTCAGCTCGCTACTGACTTCCTGAACGACTACATCCAGGTGAACATCGGTTCCATGGACTTGTCTGCTAACCACAGAATTACTCAAATTGTCGAGGTCGTTTCCGACTTCGAAAAGCGCGACAAGATGATCAAGCACCTCGAGAAAATCATGGAAAATCGTGGCAACAAGTGTCTCATTTTCACCGGCACTAAGCGCATTGCTGATGAGATTACTCGCTTCCTCCGCCAGGACGGATGGCCCGCACTTTGTAAGTCCTTTCTGGATCATTTCCTCATTTCCCAATGCTCTTGCTAACAATGAGCCCAGCTATCCACGGCGACAAGCAACAACAAGAAAGAGATTGGGTCTTGAACGAATTCAAGACGGGCAAGAGCCCAATCATGGTGGCCACTGATGTGGCTTCCCGTGGTATTGGTATGATTGAATCGCAACTTTCCCCCCTTCCCTCCCTATACTCCTTCCTAAGCTCCCTCACCCACATTGACGTCGTGTGACAATGGCACGGTGCTTGACTCTCTTATAAGAGAAACCATGTTGGTATAACATGACTCGTCCAGGCTTTGTCGGGTCTCCTGAAAATGGTGCTCATACCATGAGGACCTTGGACTTACAGTGCAGTGTAGCAGATTGATTCGTACTTTCTGTTCTGAGTTTTCCATCTCTGTTCTTGAACCTCGTTGGTCGAGAGATGGGCTTTCTCTCCCTTCGACTTGTTGAGGCTGCATTCCAAGGTTACTCTAGGACCGCGATCTTGCCCCAGGCGATGGACTCTGCCACAAACGGATTTCGACCACAGAGTCCGTGAGAGAGTGATGCATCAAGTCTCACATGACTCAAAAGGGCGCCTAGGCCTCGTTGCTATTTTCACTAATGCTCTGTTTGCTAACCTGAATCTGTTTAAAGATGTTCGCGACATCACTCATGTGCTGAACTATGACTATCCCAACAACTCGGAGGACTATATTCACCGTATTGGTCGAACTGGTCGTGCTGGTGCGAAGGGAACTGCCATTACCTTCTTCACCACTGAAAGTGAGTTTCTCTTGCGACTACCCCTGTCACTAATTGTCATGACTAATGACTCTCTTCAATGCAGACTCCAAGCAGGCTCGTGACTTGGTTACTATCCTCACTGAGGCCAAGCAGCAGATTGACCCCCGTCTCGCTGAGATGGTTCGCTACAGCGGCGGCGGCGGCGGTCACGGCGGTTACGGCCGCTGGGGTGGCCGCGGCGGTCGCGGCGGTGGTCGTGGTCGTGGTGGTAGCTACACCGCTTCCAACGCTGCCCCGCTTGGCAACGCTCGCCGTTGGTAAACTGACTGATCTTGACCTTGACGTCCAGTCTCGTCATTGAGCTTGTAACCCATCGTCACCGGTAGACTTTGCTTTTTCATGGTTCCCTCGGGGTTTTTCTACGTAATTCGGTACGGAAGGCGTTTTTCGATGACACGATAGACCTTGTTCCTTTTTCGAGTTATAGTTTTGTTTTTACAAATGCTCGTTGTCGGGCTTTGAAATGGGCCGCAGAGGCTCGCCGCTGCTGGAATTGTCTAATTTTGCAGATCCTATTCATGCATCTTAATTCTGATCTCAAAAGTTGTTAACTTGGGGCCATTCGCTCGTTCAATGGTCTTAGTGCAATTAGTTTGCATTTGAATGTTCTTAGTGAATAGCATACATGGAACTATGCGCGATTTTCCTTCACGGTAAAATGTTCTATGATCATCGTGACCTATTGCATACCATCGCTGTACTCTGCCAATGGTTGCCAACCAGAATTAACTATCCGTGCCTTTAATCAGTGCACTCCTTGAATAATATGAATCTTTAGATGAAGCAGTCCCTAATTTTCAGAGCATATTTAGCAAGCTTCAAACATTGCATGTAGTTCAGTTCGAGCCCATACTCGTCTTCGCGAGTATCAATGATCCATTGATGCACCCGGGAGTGAGTAGAGTATTGTGGGCTATGAAGAGGACCTACAACTCATAATCGCCTCAATCCAACGACTTATAAACGGCCAAGTCTTCACCGAAAGTGCAATTCCAACACCAGTTTATTTAGGCTCGTGGTTTCATACTGTAGATACTCCTTTCGTACACATACCACAGCATATCGAAGCCCAAGAATCTTGTACGAATCAGCCACCAACAACCGACAAGTCACCTCGAGCACGCCTTCAACTGCGCCTCTAGAATCTCCGCGAGTTCCTTATGGACATGGCTCGTCAGATGACCCGAGTTGAACCAAAAGTAGGTATCCAGTGGCGTGGGACACCCATACGCCATGTAATTCGTCTCGATGTCCGGCTGGTTGTACCCCGCGCAGAAATTCGTCGTGTTGACGATTCCATATCGCGCCGGGTGGTCCATCATGTTGCTCAGCGCTGTATGGGCGTCGAAGACTTGGACGGTGGTGTCGGGGTGGGCTCTTTCGAAGCTCAGTGCGTGCTGGCCTAGTGCATTGTTGAACCAGGTTATCTGGGTTGCGTTGGGGGAGGGACTGCTCCGTGCTTGGTTGGCGGGGGTGCGATCCAGAGGGGGCAGGTTCATGAAGAGGTAGGAGCGGTAGCCTAGGTTGTAGAGGGTCTGGACGGAGGTGAACAGCGTGGTCATCATGCGGTTGTAGAATGTGGGGAAGTGTACGGCGTATTTGGCGGAGTCGTTGATGTCGTTGATGCCGATCCAGATGGCGACGAGGGTGCGGGATGGGTGGATGATGTTCTTGAGCACGGGGTGGCCATATTGCTCGTACTGTGTTACTTGGTTGACGAGGGAGACGGTGTAGTTGTGGTGCAGGGGTGTGCTGTGGAAGAGTTAGATGAGCGGTGCGAGGGTTTGCATGAAGGCCCATACTATTCAACGGAGATGTCTGCTCCAGCAAAGGCAAAGTCCCAAAGTTGCTTCTTACAGCTCAGTGGTGAGGTCAATCCTTTCTTGACGCCGCAGTTTGTTAGAAACTCAACCCAGTTGGGACCTCCCTCGGCCGTGGCGGTCTAGCAGGAAGCGCGGTACTGTCAGCAATCACGGCGTCTTCGGCAGCCAGCAGGCTTCGCAAGCCCTGCGGTGGAGCGAACCTGGTTCTGAACAATCTTGTTGGATAGTAACGTTTTCCAATCATATGCAAAGTTCAGCTGGTCGCCGATGAAGCTGTAATTTTGGTGGCCATGTGCTCCTTGGACGTATGTGTATGAGTCGCCAAAGGCGAGTCTGCAGGATGTGCGTCAGTGACAATCTTCTTCAAAGGTACAGGCATAGGATTATAAAGAACCAACAGGTATCTGGTGGCATCCCAATCAAACGCATGCTTGCAACTCGATTGCGCAGGAAGCGCTGCTGCCACAAAGGCGAGGGCCGCGAGGGCCAGATTCCTTGTTATGGTAATCATATTCACCGCAATTGTCTTCGGTCACGCCAAAGAGAAGAATTTGAATTCATCTGATGTGATGAATATGCCATTTCATAAACCGGTTTACTCCCGACCGGGATTGACGCCTTGATATCGATGTCCTCAACCCCGCAAAATCCAATTGCATATGCGGGGAAATAGTCCATGTTCCTGCAAGTCGACGGACAATATTTCTCCGTAGTCAATTGATGGTATCGGATGGCAGGTGCGGATGATTTGGTCTATGTCCAAGAAGCCAGGAGCTTTTCCCATCCCTAGCATCTTCAAATTCAATCTCTGGGGAGGCAGGGATTGAGGCGGGTTTATGTCCGAGCTATCTGTCACATCAGATGATGGATACACGAATATATAGTTGCCCATTTTCACCGAGATTGACTCAGTCATCACCTCGTCCCATATTATAATAGTTTTTGATGGTCATTCCGATGGCAGAGAACCGACGGTCAAATCCAGTCTCACATCATTGATACGTGGAATGATTCAATGATGAAAACCAAGAATGAGGTTAACGAAGGTGGCCAAGCCATCCGCGCGCTGGATTGAAGCCTGAGGCTCAACCCCCCTGCGGGGCCTCCTGCGGCTCTCTCCAGCTCCAAAAGGCTAGACAGTGCCTAGTAGGTAGACGATGGGCTCGTACGGCAGTGGTTTGTACATAGTTGGTAGTTGGGGAAGAGAGTCATCTTGTCAATTGATCCTCCAGGCATGGCGTGGCATTCAGCTTGTGCATAGCAGCATGACATAACGAAAACATGCCGCTGCAGGAGCCTCAAGTTGTTCAAGTTACCAACTGGCAAAGCTTTCCACTTTTTGATAATGTCGCGTCGGAAGGCCGAGTTTGTCCTTTTGCCTTGCGCAAGGTAGATTGACCTAACCCAAGATATGATTGGACACTAGTTGTTTTGAGCTAACCGCAGTATATCCGCCAACCTAGGCATGGTTAGTCCGTAGCTTGTGGGCCTACTGATAGTTATGGGTGCATGTGGGAGTCCTGACTCAGCACTCCACGTCCGAGCCTCTTAGGTTCATAGGGGAGGGAGCTCCGTGCCCTGACCCCTCGGCGTATTCATGCTCCGTCCACCCTAGAGATGTATCAGGTGTATCATTATCACAAGGCTCATGAGCCGGTCTTCCCATAAGATCATAACAAATCAACTCGTAGATTTCTTCTTGTATATTTCCCATTGACAATGAGTGAATTGTATCTTCAAGTACGACGGGTTAGATGCTCAATTCGACCTTATCATTCTGTTCCTGCTTCCTGGACACACCGACTGCCAACGAATGACGGCCTCCCACGCAAAAGCAGTTTAAGGTATATGCTGCGAGGCCAAAAGGGCTTAGGCCGTATTTTGAGCGGAATTGACGCTGGTTCAGGTGGGGCCAGTCAAGGCCAGTCCGAAGACCGTGTGCCAAATTATTATCAATACTACTAATATTTTGTTCGAGTGGATGCAGATGAGTCTAAATCAGGGAGGTCCAAAGCGCGGATATCGGAAGCAATCACGTTGGTAATTTGATAAATGATAGTATTATCATTTTCTATTGTTGTATTAATACCGTGTGTATGTTGGAATCTTGAATACCTACAGGTACCTTAGTAAAGTGTTCAACCAGGGTCAGGGATACGGCACCCAAATCTCGTCAGACAAAGTAGTCAGTGCACTGAAGACATTGATAATAGGTAGTCACCAGTTAGGTATCTAGAAGATAGACTAGGCACCGAGGTAGAAACAAAGTTGTCCTACTCTACCAAAAGAAGTAAAGGATGCAGCTGCCACCATCCCTTGACTGTCCTGGCTTGACTTCTTAGTCTTTAAATTCCTAGAGCTGCCGTAGATCATGCACAGAACATGTACACTGAGTCACTGACACCTCGACTATTAGATTTAGGACCGTAGGATGCAGCCACGGCGCCTGTAGCCTATGTCCTCCTTATGCAATTGTCATGCAGACGATATAAGAGGCCAGCTTTTTAAAAATTTCGAAGTATCAATTTGTTGAGACCCCCGCGGAGAACCGAATTACTTCGGGTACCTGAGAGGCTGAGGCTCCGTACTCGACACCAACTTACCAAGATACCAACGTGATTCAGGCCATCTCCTGCTAGTGGACGGGTGGATCACAATGTCGGAGACTCGGAGATATGGACCTTCCTCCGCCGGGGTTGTAAACGAATTAAACAAGTACTTACTCCATACTAATCTTCTCTTTAAGGTAGGCGCTTTCCTCCCTAGTCAGCAGACCAAACTGCCAGAGCAGATCCGCAAATGTACAGTCAAATTTCAATTCAAGGATTTGTCATTTATAATTTAGTAAGTTGGTGACTTTGGAGATTGCTTACGGATAATCTTGACTCATGCAGTGTGGATAGTGGCTAGCTTGGCACACTGTCCGTGCTATCATGATATCGCTGTTATTACCCGATGGCTTTCAGGACTCTGGTCATAGAGTTGTAGAGCAGTCAAGCTATGCTTCCTGTTTGCATTCATAATCTCGTGCACCTAACTCGCGGACCTCGGGTGTCTTTTATGATCAAACTCAATTGGAGTCCGTGAGTATGGAAGTACCAGATACGGTAATAGGTACTCGGGATGGCTCAATTGGCAAATTTCACATAGCAGCAGCCGGAGGTCATAACACAAGGGAAGTGCCTTCATCCTCATGACTGACGAGTCACTGTTTGGCAAGACAAATTGATTATCAGATAGCCGACTATCCGAATCATCAATCTGAGCGCACCATTCAGATATTTGTAAAAGACTATGATACCTGAGTTATGTGCTGGCCCTGGCCCGCACCGGTCTACTTCTTGGGCTTCTTGAGTTTTTGAGTTTGAGTTGAGTTTGGATTCAAGTTCAAGACCGCTCTTCTGCGAAATGAACCAACAATAATAACCATAATTATGG